CCCCATGGGAATGACTAAGCATTTAACAGCCTGAGCTAGGCATCCTGTCTACACTAAACATTTCTAATACATGAAGTGTCTAACCACTGTCTATCTGACTAAAAAAATACCTAACAGAACCTTTACAATTTTACTTTGGCTAACAGTCCACGCCCTCAAGTAGCACAAAGCAGATTTTTGGTAAACAGTTACTTGTGTCTTTGTTGCATCTTTATAAAGTCAGTAAGCCTAACTTTTACCTTAGCAACGTCCATCCATCCATGATCTATTGTACTTACACTATAAGTGTAAGTACACTCCTAAGCTCAGCAACCAAACAGGACAAGTACAGACTTCAGCGGACAGTCAGGACTGCAGAAAAGGTCACTGGTGTGAGCCTGCCCTCCATGGAGGACCTGTACACCTCACGGGTCAAAAGCAGGGCGGAGAGGATCACTGCTGACCCCTCACACCCCGGACACAACCTGTTTGAACTCCTCCCCTTAAAATATTAAAAGTATTTTGAAAATTGGCTTAAAGTGAATTTACTTTAGTAAATTTATTTATATGGTAAATGGTCTTATACGTGTATAGCACTTTTCTATGCATTGCAGCGCACTCAAAGCTCTTTTCACACTATTTGCCCAATCGCATTCCCAAGCACTCACACACCGGTGACATTACCGGGAGCAACTGGGTGTTCAGTGTCTTGCTCAAGAACATTTCAACATGTGGACTGGCCAAGCTGGGAATCAACCCACCAGCCTTCTGGTTAGGAGACAACCCGCTCTACCTCCTGAGCCACAGCCGCCCCTAAAAACAGGCTGTGCTCTTCACAGTAACAGTGTTTCTGGAAAGACATTATTGATGTTACATTAACATATTTGCGAAACCTTTTTTTTTCCTTTGTGGTAGAAACTAAACACTCCGGCTGTTCTGAAAGCCCCAAAAGAGAGGAAGCCCAGCAAGAAAGAGAGAGGAACCCCAGGGAAGTCATCCAGCCTGCCCGCAATCCTCTACAGGTGAACACAGTGTCTACAGAGATGCGGGGGCAAGAAAATAAAGGATTAAACATGATGGTTCAATTAAAAAGTTATGATAGTGAAACCAGGTGCAGAAACAGTGTGCCTCACTGGATATGTCCAGCATTGGTTTCTGAAAATTTGGGGCCGAGTGTGTGATTTTAACTTCTGATATCATCTCTATTTATATGGCATAACCAAAGCATATAGTGTTCATGTCTTACATACTGTACATAATGGATTTCACTATTTTGTCCCAGGTCATTTCTGCTAGAGTTCCAAAAGAATGACTAATAATGTCAATAAGAAGCATTTTCTCACACATAATTTCACCTGATGTGTTCCTGCAGCTGTGGCATCTGTAAGAAGAACCAGGACCAACATCTGTTGGTGTTGTGTGACACCTGCAAGCTCTACTACCACCTGGGATGCTTGGAGCCACCACTAACACGCATGCCCAAGAAGACCAAGAACAGCTACTGGTGAGAAACATGGAAAAGAGAGGGGGTGGGAGAAGATGGAGATATGCAGGGGGTTGATATTGTCCAGTAATTGAAGATGGGAGACTATGTAACCTTAAATCTGTCTTTGAAAGCAATGTAGAATTAAACGTCAGTAGCTAAGAAGATCCACATACAACAAAATGTTCTTATGTTCTCTGTATTGTTCTGAATCATACAAGCCATAAAACCACTGTAAGCTTGAGGTAATACAGACTGTGCTGGGGAGCTATTAGTGGAGGTTACACAGTTCAAGATTCCTCAGTAGGAACACTCACATGTCAATGTGCTGCTTTGTCAGAACTGACTGTCTGCAGAAGCTCTGATGTACATGCCGCCATGCTCCATATGATTCAACATGACTGCTCAGAGAATATGAGAGGAACACAGCAGGTAGAGGCAGGGCCAGTGTATGTAGACTGTGTGTGTGTGTATATAGCTTATTTGAGCAGGTTCACATCAATATGGACAAAGCTGTGAGGGAAATATAGCACAGTCAGACAAAATCATCACTTAAAGGATAAGGCCAATCATTTTCTACATTAATAGTATTTTCAGCTCTGTGAGACGGGGACTGAGAGAGCCTAGCAAGCACCAGCGCAGAACTGGGGAAAGATCTACTCTATGCAACGACAGCTGAGCAAGAGCCTGATGGCAAAGATTTAGAGCCAGGCTCAAAGTTGTTATAATTTTCAGCCATATGACTTCTATTGTACCATTTTATTAAGTTTCGACAAAATAACCACTTAGATTGAGAATATGTGGTCAGCCTATCCAGGTAATGCCAGTTTAGAATTTGTTCCGATGTTTTTAGAGTTGTGAGCATAGACATATGCAGTATACACATATACAGTATGTTTGTGGTTGTGAGTGCTCGTTATCTGACCAAGCTAGCCCCTATTAGCAGGCAGCCACATGTCGTTCAGAACACAGTAGTCTGTCTCAAGGACACCGGTGTTCCAACTGCACATTATAACTGCATTTCAACTGTTGGAACCTAACGAGTGGTTCACCCCATGGTTCATATGGTCACCCGGCATAAACTCACAGGTAGACGTGAACCGCCCTACTTTGCTTCACTGTATTTTCTATGTGTCGGTCTTGAGGGGCTCCAGTAACGGAGACTATATGAGCAGTTTATCAAACAGATGTTGAACAAGCAGAACAAAACTTGCAGAAATGTGACGGCTTTACCGCTGTGTCCACGGTCAACTCACTGAAGTCCCTATTTTACCTGTGAATCAGTGAGTGAATGTCTGTTATGTTTCTCGTTTTTCTTGAGTGCTTGCTCAAGTGGGATTTGTTGGGTTTTACCGGTAATACTGTAAAGTCTAAACATTACTGTGCCCTTGTTGTTGTCAACTACAAATAAAAGTGAACTGAATAACTTTCAAACTAATAACGATATCAGCGTCATTCCAAATGCCAGCAGTAGGTTTTCAAGCAGTCATATATGAGGGTCAATCATGGGAGCATTGCTTTTATGGCATTATGGGGAAAGTGAGTTGCCCCTTGCCAGAGTGTTGTTTAGTATGAACATGGATTATTGATTAAAAGTAACCATTTGGCAGCGGATTGTTATGGGTGAATTCTTAAATTCATATTGTCAGCGTATCATCTGAGAAAATTGCAGTTTCATAGCAGGGGAGGGTTTAATGATCTGAGGGTAGGAGGCAAAATACCACACAGTAAAAATGCTGTCAAAGACCTGCATTTGATTTTTTACATTTAAGTAATCACATTGTAGTCTAGTGATTTGTTTAAAACAATGCTGTCGCACTTTACTTCTCAAGAGTGCCTACTTATGAGAAAATTAAACAACGCTAATTCTGTTAATTTTTCTTGTTAGTTTTTTCCTCCTAAAAATAAAAAAAATCCTATATTGTTAAAGTACTGGGTTATTTTTGTAAAAAAGTAATGATAAAACAAAAATTGAATCATTTCACATCTTTTCACATCGCATATCAAAGTATGGAGAGTAGTATCAATAAGAGTATCGATAAGTATTGGTATTTATAAGCAGTATCAGTGTCAGTATTGGTATGAATACATTTCTCAGTCTTGATCGGGTCTGGTGTTTGCTAATGAAGAAATATGTCACCCAGTGCAGCGGTATGATTGGTATTCCCACTGTTGTGTATGTGAGAGGCAGACAGAAGCAATACATACACATTGAGTGAGAGTCCTCTGGAGTACAGTGAAAACATTGAGGCAAATCCTTATCTATACAGATAGGAGCCACAGGATTGGTCAGACAGACAAGCCCTGCTTTACATAATCACAGTCTGTGGATAATAGGGCATGTAATGCAGCTTCTTTTGCCCTTTGCTGTGAAGACCTCTGATCTCTGAATGCTCCGAGTCAATTTGCAAACGCTACAATAGGCCTTACAGAAAGATAGGACTTTGTTCTCAACTTATTATTACAGAAATTTCCATCACAACAGTTAATGCATTGTAAAATAACAATGTAAAACCATTATAGCTATGTTAGTCACCAATTACAAGCCAACAGCTAATGTTATACAGAATGATAATGGAAGCACACTCAGCCCAGTTTGTATAGTTGGGAAATATACTAATGAAAAGTAAGAGCGCACTCCAGTAACTTGAGTATTCCCTTCCATCATCATATCCTGATGCAAAGTGATTTCAAACTTTGCGTAATGACTGGGATCATTTGCATCTCTGAATATTCATCAATATTGGAATTCACACTGAAGAACAAAACCAGATATGTTTTCAGGCCCTTTTCAGAAAAAAACATTTTTCCTAGAGTACTTCTGTATGCCTTTAATCGTGTCTTGGAGTGATCTTTAAGTCTCCAAGTTTTTATGTCTACAGATTTGTACTATTGACTTTTTGTCAAAGAACCATATTGCTAACAGTTGTGAAACATTTTGAGTAATGGTTTACCCAGGAGAATTTTATGCCAACTTAGAGCTGTTGAATTCCCCCAACGTGCATCACACAGCATTGGCTATGGGCCATGTTGTGTATAATAATAGTAAAGTCTAGACCTTATTTTGTAAAGTGTGCTGAGACGACATTAATGGTGATTTGGTGCTATACACAAAGAAAAATAGAAAGAAATTAAAAATGTATTGGACCTCCTGCGACCTGACTTCATAAGTAAAGTGTCTGCCTAGCTTCAGAGTTTACAATCACTCTATCAGCAACCATGTTCGCCATCTTAGCTTAGCTTGTTAGGATGCTGACCCTAGCTAATAAGCATGAATTTCAAAGTACCGCTGAGGAGGATGTAATTGTGATTAGTTTCATACTGTATGTATTAGGTTTTGTAGGTCCAAAGAATTGGATATATTAAAATTTGATCTGATGAAGGAAAACTCAATGGATGCCATTTACAGTGCCTTGCGAAAGTATTCGGCCCCCTTGAACTTTGCGACCTTTTGCCACATTTCAGGCTTCAAACATAAAGATATAAAACTGTAATTTTTTGTGAAGAATCAACAACAAGTGGGACACAATCATGAAGTGGAACGAAATTTATTGGATATGTCAAACTTTTTTAACAAATAAAAAACTGAAAAATTGGGCGTGCAAAATTATTCAGCCCCCTTAAGTTAATACTTTGTAGCGCCACCTTTTGCTCCGATTACAGCTGTAAGTCGCTTGGGGTATGTCTCTAACAGTTTTGCACATCAAGAGACTGAAATTTTTGCCCATTCCTCCTTGCAAAACAGCTCAAGCTCAGTGAGGTTGGATGGAGAGCGTTTGTGAACAGCAGTTTTCAGTTCTTTCCACAGATTCTCAATTGGATTCAGGTCTGGACTTTGACTTGGCCATTCTAACACCTGGATATGTTTATTTGTGAACCATTCCATTGTAGATTTTGCTTTATGTTTTGGATCATTGTCTTGTTGGAAGACAAATCTCCGTCCCAGTCTCAGGTCTTTTGCAGACTCCATCAGGTTTCCTTCCAAAATGGTCCTGTATTTGGCTCCATCCATCTTCCCATCAATTTTAACCATCTTCCCTGTCCCTGCTGAAGAAAAGCAGGCCCAAACCATGATGCTGCCACCACCATGTTTGACAGTGGGGATGGTGTGTTCAGGGTGATGAGCTGTGTTGCTTTTACACCAAACATAACGTTTTGCATTGTTGCCAAAAAGTTCGATTTTGGTTTCATCTGACCAGAGCACCTTCTTCCACATGTTTGGTGTGTCTCCCAGGTGGCTTGTGGCAAACTTTAAACAACACTTTTTATGGATATCTTTAAGAAATGGCTTTCTTCTTGCCACTCTTCCATAAAGGCCAGATTTGTGCAGTATACGACTGATTGTTGTCCTATGGACAGAGTCTCCCACCTCAGCTGTAGATCTCTGCAGTTCATCCAGAGTGATCATGGGCCTCTTGGCTGCATCTCTGATCAGTCTTCTCCTTGTATGAGCTGAAAGTTTAGAGGGACGGCCAGGTCTTGGTAGATTTGCAGTGGTCTGATACTCCTTCCATTTCAATATTATCGCTTGCACAGTGCTCCTTGGGATGTTTAAAGCTTGGGAAATCTTTTTGTATCCAAATCCGGCTTTAAACTTCTCCACAACAGTATCTCGGACCTGCCTGGTGTGTTCCTTGTTCTTCATGATGCTCTCTGCGCTTTAAACGGACCTCTGAGACTATCACAGTGCAGGTGCATTTATACGGAGACTTGATTACACACAGGTGGATTCTATTTATCATCATTAGTCATTTAGGTCAACATTGGATCATTCAGAGATCCTCACTGAACTTCTGGAGAGAGTTTGCTGCACTGAAAGTAAAGGGGCTGAATAATTTTGCACGCCCAATTATTCAGTTTTTTATTTGTTAAAAAAGTTTGAAATATCCAATAAATTTCGTTCCACTTCATGATTGTGTCCCACTTGTTGTTGATTCTTCACAAAAAATTACAGTTTTATATCTTTATGTTTGAAGCCTGAAATGTGGCAAAAGGTCGCAAAGTTCAAGGGGGCCGAATACTTTCGCAAGGCACTGTATGCCTTGTCTCATTCACATGTAATGTTTGTTAGCCAGAGATGACTGAAGGCTATCACAATGTGGCATGTGGTAAAAAACAAAAAAGAATTGCGAATGCAGGTATGAGTGCTGCATACAAATACACCTCTACACAGTAGTTTTGCTGGTTTCCAACAAGTTACTTTATTTCTTATTCTGAAATAAAAGTTATGACAGTTTGACCTGCAGAGGATATAAATGTTTGTATCAGTTATCATGGCAATCCATCTACTAAGATATTTAAGTCCTATGTAGTGAACTGACAGCACCATTCCTAAAGCTGTGTCACTAGCAGGGCTAAAATGATTAGCTTTATCTAGTTGTTGTTTTTCAGGTGTCAACAAATGCTGAACATTGTCAGCTTCATAAAGACTGTAGTTATTACAAGTCTGATGTGTTGTATTACATTATATTTTGCAAGTATTGATTGTACAAGAGCTAGGACGACTCTGTCCACAGTTTTAAAAAGTCATTGATTTCTTTATGCCTTTTGTAGGACAAACATTGTTAAAAAGAGCATTAAGTATTTATTGACATGTATCAGCTTTGGTATTGCAAAAACAGTTCTTTATCAGAAGTCAAACATATGGGCCTATTGGATTTCTTTGTTCAATGAGACCAATTTTGATTTTTGATCAGACCAAGCTGTAAAGGTTAGTTTTTTATTTTATAGTAAAGACTGAAGATTTGGGCCTCTGATAGTAAAATCAATGCTGTTCAGTGAGAGGAGTTCTTTTCCTTCTTCTCAGGCAATGCTCTGAGTGTGACCAGGCCAGCAGCGATGAGGCTGACATCGCCATGGAGACGCTACCAGATGGCACAAAGAGGTCCAGGAGGCAGATCAAAGGACCAATCAAATTCATCCCACAAGAGATGTCCCCGGAGCCCAAGAAACATCAAGTGAGAGGCACGGTGTGTATCTACACACTGGAATTATAAAACATGATAAGTAACAATACATCACTTGACCAAAACCTTTTACAGCTAAAACAAATGAGAGCTTTTCTAAGTCCATGTTGTCCTCAACTCTAATTAGAGTGTAACTGATGTCAGTGTTGACTAGTTGAACTGAACTGATTACACACAATTAACGTGAGTTCTCATTAGTCTCGTGGTCTCCTTAAGGTTAAAGCAAACTTGCACAGGTTAACGGTGTATTCCCCTGAACACAAAATCAACTTCTTTAACAAAAAAAAACTTTTGTTACAGAAGTACAACTTTGCATAGAAAATTCAGTGGAAACACCCAAACAGATATGGATTCAGCCTTGGCAGAACAGATAAAGGATGCATCCATTCAAACTGAAAAAATAATTCAACCTGAACAAAAATGTTGTTGTATCACTTCATTTAATTAGAGGCGAAAGACCAGAGCAGGAAGGTGTGAAATACCTGAAATAAATAGGCTTTCTACAGGAATGGTTTAAAATCAGTCTGCCTGTGCTCCAAAGACACTCCAGGAGTCAAATTCATGTGAATAAAGCAAGACTTAAAATTTGATTTGGATGGTCTCTGCAGGACAGTCTATTAGTTTTAAAGACTCAATATGAGAAACATGCTTAAAGTAGCTGAATCTCAGCCTGCAGTCAGGTACTAAAGCATCAGGCCCCAACAGAATTAAAGCAATAAAGTCTACATTCACTGCAGTTTCTGTGTAGTGTGGTTTTATGAAAGTTATAATGAAATTATTTGTGCACTTGACTGTCATTAAAATGATATGTGTAAAAGACTGACAATTCTGCACAAATTCAGTTAAATGTCAGTCCAGACCTATTAAGAATTTAAAGGACAAGTTCACAATCTGAAAAGGCTTAAAACAATAGTCACATGCCCATATGAACATTAAAGAAAATTTACATGCTGTAATAATTCCTCCTCTTATTACTAGCAATTAGAAGATCCTTTCCTAATGCACTCTTAATGAAAACAGTGAGTGACAAAAAGTCTGTGACATGCCTGTAAAAAGAATTGGATAAAAAGACATTAACTCACAGGCCCAGGTACATCTGAGTAGTAGACCTCATCTTACACCCGAGAGTATGAACAAGCCCCTCATCTTGCAGAAGAACATAAAAATAGAATTAAAAGGAACCAGTGTACAGTGTGTGTTTGGGTTATGATGCTGATGATGTTGAGTGAAGAAGTGTTTGTTTCTTAGGTTTCTATCCAGCACATTAAGGCAAACATTTTTAACTTATGCTAAATAAATAAGAAGCATGCTGAAACTGACTGTGCCCTCCCCCCACTTTATCAAAAACGTAATGAACTGAACTGAAATCCGTGACCCAGAAACCATGGTATGAACTGAATCGTGAGTTTTGTAAACTGTTCCACCCCTACAGTAAACAAAACAAAGCTGATTTAGTCATATTAGCACCTGACTACTGTTTTTAGACAGACCGAGTATCCTGTAAAAATGACAACAGTGCATTGAACAAACATGTTCTTAGATTCTGGAAGAATGACAGAAGAACCTGCTGGCTGCTGTCAAATGTTATGATACAGTGTTCCTTGTGAAACTGGTTTGTAAGTGATGCACAAACTGGCTCGCGTTTAGCAGACTATAGATTCTCCACAGCTATTAGTACTGATACATTAAGGAAACCAACAAACAATATGTATATTATTTGTTATACCCAAAGTTAAAGTTCAGGTGTCCATCACCAGTGACAGAAGTCAGTTTGTATGCAATTTTGAATGTCATCTAGGCTGTGAATGTGTCATAGTTGTCGTAAATCCTCTGGCTATTTGTTTCATTTTTTTCTTTGTCCATAAAAGAGCAGCAGTATTGGTACTGTGTCATCTTGTGGTGTAACATTTGTCTTAGCTATGAGAGGGATCAGAACTCTCTCTCCCCTCCCCACTGGATCCACTTATCTGTACCAGCCATGCCTTGATCCTGCGATACAGAGCTGCCTCACCACTCCCTCAAGAAACAGTTCAGATTGATATCTGACAGCTTGCTGGTGAGGAGAAGGGGTGGGTTGTCTTTCACTTCTTTTGTTTTTCCACTGTCACTTTTGCCACTTTTGTTCCCTGAGACTTGAGGGAACGTTCCTCTCATGACTGTGGGTACTCGCAGCAGAGCCAATATTACTGAAGCTGTTCCTACAACCTCTGTTACAAATTGAGAAAACAACAAAGAAAAGGGATTGTCTCAGCCACTTCTCTGCACTCTGTCCGTCTTAGAGGAGAAAGAGCAGAGTACTGTAGTACTGTGGCAGTTTGGGTTAATGTGTTTTTCTGTTCAGGTTTGGAGAACCTAGGTCCAGACATGTGCGGAAGAGCCTGCTGGAGCTCTCAGGGATTAAGCAGCTTTTTGATTTTGCTCGGAGCCACAGCCACTCTGGCGAGGCACTTCAGTGCAGCATTTATCTTCAAATGCAATGCATGCAATGGCAGGCACTAAAAGGGCTCTGCTTTGCATTTTTAATGCTTTTACCAGGGCACCCAAGTGCTGGCACTTCTGTAAAGTCATGTTTCAATTTATCAAGAATGGCTAATCGACCTCCTGCTGGCCTTTGAGGCTGTGATGTGTATCAGGGAGTGTCAGGCAGGAGGTTGTGTGTGTATGTGCACATACATGGCCAGGTGCCATCTTGATGAAGCAGAGTGTCTTGTGGCTGTTATTCATGGCCTGTAGTGGGTATTGTCTCCTGGAGTAAAACCTTTAAAGTCAACCTGTGAACTGAATTTTATTTAGCATGTACATAGTACAGCAACTGTAAAATTAATGTGCCATAGCATGTTCTCTCTGATTTTACACAGCCCTGCTAAAGATAAAGTCCTACATTCCTTTATCCGGACTGAGCTTCAAGGACAGTTCCTCAACATACAGTTGATCATGTTTTAGTACTGATATTTCTACGAAGGGTGTTTGTTCAAGCACAGGTAGCCTGAATACATGTGGTGATTGTCCCATATGACTGTAAATAAAGGGAGAGAAGTGGAGAGGGTTCAAGATTAACTTTCTGGCAAAAAATAAAGTTTTTGAGAGATTTTAAAGATTTAAGATAAAAAAATGTACACAACACTGAGTTATCCGTTCTAACTAACTGGGAGGAAAACTTGTCATCTTTGGGTGAAATCCACAGTTTTTATGCCCAAATCGGTCACCCACACGAGAGGGCATATTTACACATTTTCAATGCTGACATGCATCAGCTTCACCCGGTGAAAACGGTCAAAATGATGCGTGAGCAAACTTTACATCCAAGAAATAATTTGGCCTGGTGACACATATTAGCAAAGTTTGATGTATAAATCTTATAGCAGCTTCCCCTTTTTAGCCAGTGGTGCACCAACTTAGTGAAAAGATGATTTATGAGGTAAAAGAAGTATCACTCAGTGACACCTTTGAGCAGTCAGGGGACCGGGCCTTACCGTAGTTCCAACAGCTTCATCAGAGGAGACATCTTCACTAGTAAAACCATCAGCTGGTTAGCATCTCCAAGTTAAAGTTAAATTAATGTCATGTTAGTAAATCAAGCAGATCAACTTTTAGTTCTGAATCAAGGCCTCCAGTCTGTTGGAGAGTGGAGTTGTTTTTGGCAGCCTGTTTTAATTTTAGTTTTAGTCTAGTCTTTGTGTGAAGCTGTCATTTTAGTTTTTATTAGTTTTAGTCACATTCATACTCTTTTTAGTCTAGTCTAGTTTTAGTCAGTGAAAATTGTATTTTAGTCTCTTTTTAAGTAATGCAATTCTATTTAACCCAGTCAATATAGTATAGGAACCTAGTAGTATAGAGGAAACCAAAAGTTTCTTTTAGCCAAACCCATTTCAAACCAGGTTATCTTATTATATTATTGTTACTTTATAGACTCAAGAATATATCCAATACACAGTTTGTGTGATTTTGTGGCCACATTTCTCCCCATCTTTTTCCACAACAAATTCCGTTTTCTTTTCCACTTCTATGTAATTAAAGTTTTTCCAAATGTCGTTTCTTCTTTTTCTCCCAAAGACGAACCCCGGCTGGCCGGCCATCGATCCCTTTCTCTGTGTCAGACTTAACTTTGTTTGTTGTCATCTTCTAAATAATGCCGCGAATGGGGCTTAAGAAAGTGACATCGCCTGCGTTTGCGCAGTGCGGCTTGATGCGGCCCCTGAAGCGAGACACAGGAAACAGAAATACTGCAAAATAATAATAATAATAATTATCTAACGACTGAACGAGACGAAATAACATAACATTTTATTTCATTTCGGTCAACGAAAATAGAGACATTTTGGCATAGTTTTTATTTTGTGAACCACATTTAGTCTCGTTTTTTTCGTCAACAATATTGCATTATACATTTAATTATAATCATCGTCACACGACCAGCATTTTCGTTGAGTCTCATCTCGTTTTCGTCACGTGATAAAGGTTTGTTGACGACGATATTTAGTCATAATTTTCGTTGACGAAAGCAACTGTATTGGAGAGTACATGTAAAGTGTGCCAGAGTCATAGTCTGCTAATGTGTTGATACATATTCGATATCTTAAGCAGTTATGTAAACAGTACAGTATATAGAACATTTCCATGACAATGATTTCAGTATAACATTAATTGTGCTGTCACAAAACACTCACTTCTCAACCTATAGAATTTTTGTTTTATTTACAGTTTTAGTAACTTTCCTAAGATGAACAATAAACATAAATGAGTTTACTAACAATATAATTCAAGACTCAGTTGCAGTTGTATAAATAACTCTCAGTTTTTTTTCTCAATTTCAGGACACCAGCGCCCTGACAAGTAAATGTCAGTGTAGAGCCCTGACCTCATGTTAATCACTTGTTCTCTCACCAACTTGGTTAGTCTTCAGCTAAGTTAGTGTCGTATGTTATTTCTAAGCCTGGGTGCAGTGCACGACTTTTGCTTTGCTTTTGAGTGGGAGAAATGTTGTTACTAGTTTGCACCTGTGAACTAATGTCAGCTCCCAGTTGAGGGGGAGAATGGTAGTAATATCTCTCAACTTTAGTCTTGTGGGTGACAACAATATTGATGTTAATGACTGTCCAAGTCTAAGCCTTAATCCAGTCCAGAGTTTGTGGCAGAATTTACATATGGCTGTTACCAACATGAGCAGAAGAATGGCTTATCCATGTAGGCTAAATGTAAACGTGACAAAACATACCTTGATTAAATATTGACTCAAAAGGGGGCAAATATACATGTATGTATGCAACTCCTTATTTTAATGATTTATTTAATTTAAATCATTGTGTCAGGACTCATTTCTACCTTATCTTTTATGACTTAATAAAATGACTTAAGCATGTCAGTCAAATGACTTAATAGTTAAAAGTCTGTTATACCCCAGTTCTTTAATTGGACAGATCTGAATGAAGACAGAGTCCGACTTGCTTCATTTTTTAGTGCTGATTTATTTTAAAAGCCACAATAAAAGTTACAGAAACACAACCCGGGTAGCTCCCTGCTCCAGACAACTGCTGGAAGAAAGGAGTCTCCCAGGACAAAGAGCCTAATACATTTATATGGTTTTGGGCTAACCCTTTACACAAAAAGATATAAAAACATTACGAGTTGGAGACAGTCCGGCGTCTCCTTCTCTTATCTAGAGCTCCACAGGCTTGGAGCAGCTGGACATAGCAAAATGAAGAATTCCATGTGTGTATGTTGTATGCGTGATGTGTAACTAAAACATACATTCAGACATAATTCTAACACGATTAATACAAGAAAACAACTGGTGTTAAGGTACACTTTTCAGAATCAACTTTGTCTTCTAATGTTGAAGCAGAGCAAACTAGAGCAGACTTTGAATCTTACTAAATTGCATTACTAACACATTAATGTCTAATAATTATCTGACTGGTTTATTAATTTCTAACAAGTCCCTTTAAAATACCCCATTCATTTGATGTAAATGTTATAGCTATTTTTTAATGTTCAAGCAAATAAGTGGAATTTTAAGGGTGAATTTAGGGTTCAAGAGGTTAACTGAAGGTGGCAATAAAATGCTCCTCCTAATAGGATATGATTTACTGCTGCCAGAGCCCACCATAGTGTTGCCATTAAAATATCTCATATCAATATAGTCTATTTATCAGTTGGAAATGATGAGAATTGAGTAAATACATCTAGTTACTACCATTTCCTGTGCTCTGTTAATTTCTCCAGGCCTGCGTGAAATGATTCAAATGGTTGTTAAAGATGCACTGATGTACGTAATTAAGATTGTTTTAGCCTGGGACTTACAAATTGCCTGCACCTGAGTAGCGGTTGAGATTAGCTGTGCGGTGTGGCTGAGGAGCTTTACACTGAACTGCACTCCCTGGCCTTATTGATTAACTTAACACTACTATAATGTAGAAATGTAGATTCAGAAATGTTGGGCTTTTTGTTTGGTGCTGCAGTTGCATGAGAAATGGTTAGAAGGAGCCAACTGGCAGCTTTCTTGCAGTTAGCATTCTTAATGATAAGTGCTCCATCTGGCGAGTGGTGGCGAGCCAAAGGGGACAGATGGAATTGTTTTCACAATCTGTTTAAATATGTTATCCATTTTTCTTCCCCTTTTAAACCTTCCCAGCAGCTCTAGCACTTGCTTGCTAGCAACAAGAAGGCGATGTTAAATTTTATTCCCTTTCATGCTCTTTTCAGTCGCTTTTGAGGAGAAATCACACCTCAGACCTTATGTAGATGGTAGTGTTGACAGAGTAATGTTCTGGATCATCTGGATTGATCAGCTCAGCTTCCTCACAGTCTAAATGACATCTTACAGGCTTTTTCTTGTGAGCCATCGGTGTTTCCATCATATTATTTGAGAGGAATGTGTTCCCCTGTCCAAAAGTGTATAGTACATTTGAATTCAGATATGGGGGAACAGTGAAGTCAGGGGTTCTTCAAGCCAGTGCACAGTGGCTTCAGTATTCAGACCCCTATTTTCACACTTTGTGTTATAATTGTAAGTTTAAAATGAAGACTATAGCGATTTTTCCCATTAATCTACATTGGGGTAACCCACAGTGCCAACAGGGTACATTGTTTTTAGAAATTTGTGCTACCAGTTACAGCTTTGAGTCTTCTATGATAAGTCTCTGCAAAATATGGATGCCTAGATTTGGGCAGGTTAGCTCATTATGCAAACAAATGATCCTTGAGCTCACCTCACTTGTCTACCATTTTCATCCCCTTTTTTTGCAGTTGCTTTTAACCAACTAGTTCCAAGGTAATTTATATAAGATGTATGTTTCCGTCAAGTTCACACAGGTCCCGCTAGGAGAGTAACCTCAGGTGTAGCTCATCACATTGTGGACATGTCGCCATAAGTCTGACACACACAACTTGGCCAAATGCTTTTTGCTGCCATCTGGAGGAGTATGTTCATGTTTTGTCAAGATTTGTTTTATAACAAATATTAGTTAAAAAAAATATCCAAAACTGAGCAAGAGCAGCCATTCCCAGGGTTAAAAGTGAGCTTACTGACAACAAAGATGGTGGTGCCTGTTCCTTTTATGGCATCCATCTACTGTAATGTGTGACAAATAGATTTTGCTTGTCACGAAATATGGAATGTCATTAAAGATTCAAGATGTTAAAAAATACATAAACTACCAAACAAAGATCTTTCTCTTCGGTTAACAATGACTTTATAAATCAGATGGTAGGTATATGTTTGTTCAAAGTTAAAATCCAGGTGAACAAGTTCACCAAGAACATAATGCAGCTGGTAAAGCTTATTGCTGTTAGTGTCAAAAGAGATTCTTATTCTTGGATTCTTATTTTTATCAACTCAGAGCTTCTCCCACTTTGATTTTAAAAGCCAGACAGTCTGAGGGCACACTTTACAGAGATTTTGTGATGAAATAAAACTGAAAGTTTAAAGAAGGAAAATTACACCCATGCCCCTGTCTCAAAAAGGTGTTGACTGAATCAGAAGAAAATGAAAATTTCATTTTAAAGTTGTAGTGAATAATGATTTTGACCACTGCTTAAAAGAGAAATGTTTGTTTCACAGAGAACCAGAGGACAGAAGAGGAGGAGACTTCCGATCTGTGAAGATAGAGAAGATAAAATTGAGGTTTGTAACTTTGTGCTGCTGCTGCTGCTAGGTTACATGTTATTGACATATTCAAATGCTTCATGAGCTAGTTCACCTCTGCTCTTTACCCTCACTGGTATTTGCGTTTTTGACCTCCTTTACTTACTTTAGAAATTCAGGTTTATTTGACTTAGGCCAGCTTATTATCTTGCTCATATTTGCTGTGGTGTTCATTTTATTAAAATTAAGGTATCAGTTGATGAATGTCATCTACCCTTGAAATCTTACTGAATGTTTTTATTACAAGTTTTTTAATATAGAGTCAGAGAAATCACTACAGCATTGTGTGGGAGAAATTTATCTACTTATCTACTTACACTATAAAATGTAAAAATGCCTCAACCTGCCCTACAGAGCTAACTATCTGAGATTGTATCCACAAAAACAAAACAACAAAAAATGTATACTATCAGAAAAAAGTGATAAATATGGTATAATAGATCAAATACGGTATGTTCTTTCTTCTTTACCCAGAATGGAAGTGTTACGATATGCTTAAGACATATGCTTAATCTGAGAGTTTTGCACTAACCTGAACAGAACTTTACAGCCCCTGAATGCTGCAGAAGAGAGTACCTTTCGTACTACATTAATACAGAATGATTTTAAGCAAATTAAATTCATCATCACTGATTTATATGTACTCAAAGTGAACACACAGTTCATCCTTAAACCTTAGCTGTGAGATGGGTATTGTAAGCAGGCAAGATAAGGCAAACACGGTCTGAAATTAAAACCATCCAGGCGCCAAATGTGGGTACATTTTCCATTTGGCAAGTAATCCATGTAATAAAACAGTATCCTGAGCGTCTCTACTGTGGGCGCCCTGCATCTGTTTATGTCTGTGTTTGAAACGCACACACACAGATGTATTCTGTGAGGAATTGCCCCTGCTCTGCCTCTGATTGCCTTTCTGAGCCAAGCATAAAAGGTTGCGATTACACACATAAAGCGCCAGTGATATGTGAGCTAGAAAATATGAGCCTGTTGGTTACACACGTGTCTCAAAAACACAGCTGAAAAACACTTCTGGTGCACACACGGTGTGACACTCATTGTCTAAGTTTGTCTAACCAGTCATCTGACCATAAGAGGAAGAGTAGCGGTGGGTTCCTGTTTAACATGTGCATGTGCATGTGCATGCGCCACACTCTGATGCAGACAGGAGACCGTACTTCATGGACCATGCAACAGAGCAGGTGATTGCAGCTAGAGTGAAGAGTTTCAGGACTCAGGAGGAGCCCTAAGTTGGTTCAAATGATTTAGCACCCAGTGGATTTACAAAATTTCAAATTTACTTTTGTCTCTCAAGTTCACTTAATAGAGCATACTGTATGTTAAATAGAATTTTGCTATCAAAACCTCGAGATATATTGTGGTTTTTAAATTTTATTTCAAAAATGAATTTATTAACTGCTGATTGATAAATTAAAATAATCTTGCTTCAGATTTTGCTCTGACCTCTTTACATTTGTATACCAAACATGCATGTGACAAAAAAGCAAATTTATTATTTTCTGCAATCTGCTGGCGTAAAGAACACAAGGTGCAGAAAAGTTACTTAACCTATGTATGATGTGGGGTACCTGTTGAGTGGACTGGAACCTGTATGCATCGGCATTGCTCTGCTCATCAGACTTTTGTGAGGGCTAAGGCTAGCAGAGTTTGTACAGAAGTGCACTGCATTCACCAAAGGAAAATAAATGGAGGATCTTATCTTGTAATTATGACTTGCTATCTCATAATTACAAGATCAGGAGCTCATAATTGTGAGAAAAGATCTCGTAATTATGAGATAATTCAGGGATTGGAACGCTACACAACTTGCCTGAAAATCATCAGGATTTAATGAATTCTTTAGTATTAGAGTAATTCAGTGATTATGAGATCCAGAGATTGGGATCTATTAATAGACTGTTATTGTTGCTGTTTAAGAAGACAGAGGCATTATAAGCTGCGTGATTTAACTGCCTAGATCCAATACCCTAGATCCTATAGACTATTGGGCTATCTTTATAATGAATATGAGCTTAAATATCAGAGCTTTTTTGCATTGTATTTTGGAAAATGTCACATTAAACAGTACAGTTCAGTCGTGTGCACAGATCGTACTTTTACAAGAAACAGCTAGTGGGCTATAATGTTGCCACAGATGTGAGTTACTGTGGGCTGCAGCTTGGGCCCAATTTTAGTTTATATCTTTTTTATGTTTTAGAACACTAAATTTGCCACATTAACTATTATCAGTTCATTTCTGATATGTGCCTTTCTACTGAGAGAATTATGTTACTACCGAAGAAATCATTAAAAAGCCAGTGTTTCTCAAACATGTTGTGAAGATTTCTAAGTCTTGATCAGTACATGTAGCCTAGTGAGTTTTACTGTACGCAGCAACTTTGAGGCCCGTTTGTAGTCTATATTGGTTTACGTTTTGGAACGCTAAGTATGCCGAATTAGATTTTATCGTCTAGTTTTGCTATGTACTCTTGGATGTCCTGACAACTGTCACTGAATTACTTTAATAATAGAGAATTTGTTAAAACCTGATGATTTTCAGGCAAGTTCTACAATGTACCAACTCCTGCATTCTCATAATTACAAGATCTTTTTCTTGTAATTATGAGATCTTTTCTCATCAGGGTCTCATAATTATGAAATAGTAAGTCATAATTACAAGATAATATCCTCCATTTTTTTTCCTTTGTTAAATGCAGTGTGCTTTTGTGGCTTTGTTTGGTGTGCATCTTATAGCCAAAAGCACTAACTCCAAAGTTTAAAGCCATTTAAGATGTATCTTTGTCTGTTCTGTTCAGCTTTTCTGTTCATATTTTCAGCTGACCTGAAGATTGTGGATAGGGAACATGCTTTTGCCTCAGTCACAGTTGACATTTTCTGGGAGCCCAAATCTCTGAATGATCTTTTTCATTAAATGTTTAATGAATGGAATGCATTTACAAAATTGGCTAACAAAATAGATTTATAAAGGTTTTGGTAAGTGATCATGTGGAATAGGCTTGTGCTGATTCTTTTGTGTGCATATCATACACTGAGATTTACATATTTGTGTTTCATATAATTTTGTGTTTGTTTAAGATGAAGGGTTGAAGATGTGGCAGTAGAGATACTATATGTTCAAAGGAATCATAGGTAACATTGGAGTCATTTTCAAGAAGGGAGGAGGTTAGACACTGTCAAAGGAAAGAAGCAGGGTTAATAAGAGAGAAACTTAACCATGACCCTTGATACAAGAAAGTATATATGAAGTTGAGTGGTCATGTGTTGTGTGACCTCAGGTGACTGGAGAAATGGCATGAGAAAAATGAAGGATATATTGATTTCCCTGCACTGGCACTTAAGATTTTTTAACCATAATGCACACAACCTGGTATTCCTTGGATCACAGCAGGCAGACTGCAGAGGATTTCAAGCAATAGCACGATTACCTGTAGTTCCAAACTGCTTTCTCTTGGCTGTTTCTCATCTGTCCATCGTCAATCCATCATCAGTGAACAAATAGCTTCCAAAATGCTTCTCTGCCACTTTAACTAGACTGTCTGGAAACAGATTTGGCCTTCACACAGCCTTTTTTAATTAGGAGAAAAATTATTTTCTTTATTCTTTTATTCTTGTGTCTGAGTTTTGACAGGTTTAGGTACACTTTCCTTACAGCACTTTTATAGCCTTTGGAATTGGGACTTCCTATAATGAGTTAACTCAGATCCTTCCTATATGTTACATTACTCCAATGTTTCTGCCAGTTTTGTCAGAAATCATTAAAGTTTTAGTCCAATTCAATTCATTTTTATGTGTAAAGTGCAAATTCACAACATAAATCATCTCAGGACACTGTACATAGTAAGGTCTAGACCTTACAATTATTATTATAGAGAAACACCCAACAAACCCACCTTAAGCAGCACTTGGTTACAACAAGGAAGAAACCTCTGACAGACCCGGGCTCTTGGTGGGCGGCCTTCTGCCTTGACCGGTTGGGGTGAATGGATAGAGGGGAGAGAAAAGGAAAGAAGAGCAACAAGACACAACAAACAGAGTGCCATAGGAATGACATTTTTTGTAGGCCAACCCAGAAGTTTCCATCACCCTGGTTTGCTCAACAAAAAAACCATGGAGATTTTTTTACAGGCTTTTGGACTATTGCAGAAAATAAGCTCTGTGACAAACAACGGTTTATGACACGTCTATGTTTTGTTCAGGAAGATAACACCACTTTTATGGTTTTTGAAGCCCAAATACAACCGCCAGAAGCAAAAGCCTATCTTTAAGCTATAAACAAACTACACCACGGTCACATGATTTAAACATCACAACCACAAATTCCTACTAGTAATTTGATTGCTAGCGCTTTCCTCTTCTGTAAAATCTTCTTAATGATCATGGCTGTCAATAAAATATACCTGTCACTACAAAAATCCCATAAGAACAGTCTAAAACTGTTTTATCAAGTTCAGAACTTTCAGTATTGACTGTAAAGAATTCACATCCTTATAGTCACTTTCATGAATTGTATACCAGAAATACTGCTTCCATCTTTCCCCACATTTTATTCCGTTTTACCTCCTAACCACTAACAAGTGCCCATACAGCTCACCATTCTAATCACCCGTGTTTCCATAGGAACCACTGCCACGGGAACGCCGACAACGACAGTCTGCAATGCAGAAAAAACCCAAAGCTGACGACACGAGGACTGAGTGTACAACCTGCAAAGGACCAGGCGACAACGAAAACCTAGTGAGGTGAGGCAACGTGTATGTGTGTGATTTAGAGAAGGAGCTGTGGGGTGGGTTAATAGACGTCCTCTGTGTGTGTGTGGTGTGTGTGTGTGTCTCGTAAGGTAGCCATATCCTCCTGATGATTAAAGTTCAGTCTTCATTAGTCTCTGGCCGCCTGGGCTCTGCAGAATGAGGGAGCTGACGGTGTTTTCTCCATAGGCCCACTATATTGACCTGCCACATACATTTGCACAGTTCATTAAGATGTACTGAAGAGCACAATTTATTCTGCTCCTTTCTTTGGATTTCTAGTGTCAGGCATCTAATAAACAGGATTCTTTTTTGACATTGGCATTCTA